TTGGTATTGTCTGTGCCATTTGATAGGGGTAGAGCATTCTGCTCTATCTTTGGCTGCAACATTTTCTTTAGAACCTAAAAATGGTAAGATAGAACAACTTGCCTTTAATATAATAACACAGTGATACACGCTGACGAAAATACTAAAGAACAAGAGACAAACGTAGATCAAAATCAATATGTAATTACTTTCTAAACAAACAACATAGCCAGAAATAGCAGGAAATGTTGTTAATAGCTACTATTAGCATGATCCCCGAAAAGTAGACCCAAGGAACGTCCTAATTGTTGAATTCCCCACCTACTAATTGATTATACCTGGTAGTGATATCTTTTTGACAGCCTTAAAAGAGTAACTTTTGGGTATGCTCTCCTATTTGGCTAAATTAACGATGCAAAAGATTTGCTACTGCACCATTTACTACTTATTTCCAGGCATCATATCTACACCTGTGAACAAAGAGATACGCGCCCAAATATCCAAATAAATAGTCAACGCACTGTGGAAATAGAAAGGCAAATTGCAAAAGACCATAATTCTTTAGACACTTTTAAAAAGAAATGGTCTCGATTAAAGATTAAAAATCTGCCCTCTTTTAACGAATGTACTATTCTGTGGAAGTGAACTGTAGGCGGCTCTCTTTAGAACTGTCCTGTTTAAGTTGTCTGTCTGTTTGTTTGTTTTAAATCCATTGTGGATACGTGTGCGTATAATATAGTTTTCGTCAGTTACCTTATTACGTTATGTTAAAAAAAATAAAAGTTACTGATTTTTCATGTATCAGGGTAAAGATAATTTAAATTGTAAGTTTCAATAACTTTTTTAAATTGTAATTTTGCTACTTTTTTTCTAGTTTTCACAATTTTTGTAATTTTTGCTTTGCATGTAAATATGAAATAAAGTGTTGTTAAGAATAAAGAAAATAAAATAAAATAAAAACTTTTGAGAATACTATGAACCGAGATTCACCATTGTTTAGCGACACCCAGGATAAGTGATTTCATTTGCAACAGCAGTTAACTTTTAGAGGTTCCTTTTGAGGTGTCCGTCAAATACTGTCATATCTATGGTAGCACTAAAAACTTCAAACTAAACAGTCATGAAAGATAAAATTTAGCATTGCTTTACTTTGCTGAAGTCATACGAAGACGGAACATTCTTGTAGACACGATTATTTTTCACCACTTGTGCCTGTGTCATACAGAAAGCTAAATCGTTGACACTCTCTATGGCCTCCCAAGCCGACAAGCTTGTATTGCCACCTTCCATGGTAAATCCTTCCCAGTCGGGAAGCATTGCCCGAGTAGCAATCTTTCTTCCTTTAGCAGGATCCATACTTTTCTTCAGAAGTGGCATTTTGTTACGAGCTGACTGTAACCAGCTGGGTGGACTGAAAATTGTGTCATCATATTGGTTCCAGACGGCTAAATAATAAAAAAAACAAACAAAATAATAATAATAATAATAATAATAATAATAACAGCCATTTTGACCCATCAACCTGGGACATTCTTGGATACCAATTTTTTTAACCTCAGTGTCTACTCTGTGCAATTGCATAAAGAGAAAATCAAACGCGGAAACAGATTACTATGTCTAAATGTTATTGATCCAGGTATGATGCATGAACTTACTGAAAAATACATGGTACACTTTAAGACGGCTCTCTAGCATTTTGGAAGGTACACCCTTTATCTTAAACGCTCTTATATCTAGACACCTTAAATTTTATTGTAACTCATTATGACACATGAATTACACTAACACATAGACTGACCTATATTACGATATTCTTATTTTGGCAATCGAAATGAATATCTCAGTTCTTTTAGCAGTTTTTTAGGCTACTTTTATGAAAACAACGATTAAACCAAAATTAATGGATAGATTCCCTTCAAAACATTTTACAGCTGCACTTGATCAATGAACTCTACAATCCCCATTTTAGCGCCCATGGTAGTCTGGGAAAGAATAGGCGAGTCTCTCACGGTGACGTCACACCTCAGGGTAGAGTCCACGATTGACCGAGCCGAGAAAGCCTAGAGAGTAGGCTGGGTCAGGAGCATTTTTTCTTTTTTGACTCTCTTGGTCTTGGTATGGTCAACTCTTGTCATAAAAAGGCTACATATTCAGAAAAAATGATGAATGAAAAATTTTCTCCATGGCTTTGTTTTCGAACATTACCATATTTCGGATATTCCCTTGAGAGTTACAATTCCTTTGCAGATTAATTAATGCCGACATCCAAATATATGTCCCCAAGGAGCTTATAAAAGGGGGCTTATACTGAGAGAGGAATTTCATGTTATAAATTTATTCAGGGATACGTTCATTCAGGTATTCTAGTGGTTACACCAACACCAAATTTTCGATTCATCACAGAATTTTTGCACGCATGACAACGAAGACAACAACTAAAACAACAACATAAACAATTAAACACCTCCCGGTCCACATCTGTCCTCTGGTATTTGAAGACATCTGTTCTTGTTGTATCCCCAGTCAACTAAGTATTCCCACAAATATTTTGCCTTTTCCTTTTCTTTTGAATCTTTCCTTTCTTCTTTCCATACAATGTACTTGTATGGAACTCGGCGGGACATATATGAACATGGTACCACGAGCCTTGCTTGCACCAGGATAAAATCATTCTCTAAGGATCTATATTCCAAATTACAGAATATTATCACATTCAATCAATCTCCAAAGATCCATCTTCAGATGTACAGAGATGATAACAAAATCCATCCATAGATTAGAAGCAATGGTGGTTTTAAGTGATTGTTACCTTTGCAAGATAACTTTAATTTTTAGCTGGAGGACTCAGAGTGCGGGAGGCGGTGTGCGCACTGGGATCGTTACGCCTCATGGGCGGTACTCAAAATCTGATCATTTGTGACAAGATGGTGAGGGGTGAACATCTCGCAGGAAGCGACTGTAGCACTAAAGGTAAGACCAGTGGTTTGCCGAAAAAAGTGATTTTATCGTCAGATTAGTGCAACTAGAACTACGAGGTACTACGACGATTTCTTCATTATTAGCAAGACAAATTTAAGCTTAAGTTGGCTTGAAAACAGACTGGTATGGGCCAGGATGAAAAATTTTAACTTCGTTCTGACAAGATAGCCCTAAAACAGTTTCTAGACTATAAGACAAGTTTAGCGGGTCAGCTTTACAGAGGCCCTGCTAGGTCTTTACAGGGATTTAGGTTTGTTGGCACCCCGTTTGCATTTTTTATTTGTTTTACCATCTGCATTTATCACACATAAAGTACTGTAAATGAAAAGTCAATCAAGATATCAGTACGTGTCGGGTGAGTTTTGTCCTATTTACAAATAATATTGAGCACTTTCTTCAGGCATCTTCAGTGTTAAATAAAAATCTAATGAAGAAATACTGCAATCTAGTATCCTTGCTTTCTATTGGTATGAGTGACAGAATTTAAAGTTTGAAATTGAAAATGGCATTCAGCATTTGTGATTTCTAATCCTCATACAGTTAAGCAGATTAAGTGACAAGAGCTGAGCTTAAGAGGCATTCATGGTTTTTGCCTTTATTTCATTTTATTTCATGTGAATGATTGTATCAGTGTGTAAAAACACATGTCATCACATATTTTTTGTATGCTAATAATTTTTCTCAATTCAAAATGTGAAAATCTTATCTGTGTTTACAAATCTACTGTAATCAGGGGCAACATGTAGGGAGATCCCTTTCCTTTCTTTTGATACCCCTCCCTGCAACTACTTTTGTTTAATTCAAATATTGTGTCATAGGTGTTATAGATGTCATGCAAAATTTTGGGCAAATGTATTCACCTTTTATTATATTGGCACGGTGATTAGTATTTCAGTGCAGTCACTTTATAGCGACGGATATTGTTTTTTAATTTCCTCCCATGTTGTTGCTATACTTCAGACTTTTGGGTTAGCAATTATTACTGTGGTGGATCCTAGTAGTACCCCCTTTTTTCCACTTCGGATATCTTGCAGTTAATTTTTTCTCACGCAAATATTATTTTTCTTTTGTTTCAACTCCATTAGCATACTAGATTAACATACCCAAAAACAAAAGAAAAAGAAAAATTACCTGAGACAACGAATCAAGTACAACAGATGTTTCGTTTCCTGCCAACTATTTTTCCCTTAGCCTTTGTTCCCCAATTATAACTTAGTACAGCCATGAGATGAAATGTATTAACTAAAGCCACCAAACTATGCAAATCCCTGGATATAACTGTGTTCTTAAGGTAAACAGGTTGACTGACCTCAGTTTATACGCAGTTTGTTGACACTAGCCATTTAAAATATGTAGGAATGGCTCCGAGCCGTAATGAAAGTAACCGCTGACCGCCTCACATGTGTTTACACATTGCCATCCATAGCAACATATAGCCATACATAGCCACCAATAGCAACCATAACAACATATAGCCATCCATAGCCACCCATAGCCGCCTATAGCAACTCATAGCTGCACATAGCCTCCTAAAGCCACCCATAGCTACACATGGCTACATATGGCGAACCATAGCCACTCATAGCTACACATGGCTACACATAGCTACACATAGCCATCCATAGCTATACATACCCACCCGTACCTATACATAGCCACACATAGCTACACATAGCCATATTTCGACACACATCGCCACCCAAAGCCACATATAGCTACATTTGCGTTCTTTCAAACTTAATCGCGTCTATTTGGACCCGCTCAATATGTCAAATGCAGGCGACCTTTTTTAATATATGGGGAAGGGGGGCGGGGTTGAGTTGAATTTGTCAGGACTTAATCCAGGTTCAAAAAGAGAAAGGAGAATTCATCGTCGTATGTCGAAATCCTACATAAAACGTTGCATTAGGAGGTTTCACTTCGTGGTCGTGCAGTGGACGTCAAAGAAACGTACTAAAATGCGTGATGCAAGTGCAGGGCTGTTGTTTTGCTCATAAAACCAATTGTTTTTCTAAGTTGTCGTTCAGTGTGGTCTTCGTCGTAGTTGCTTAAGCTCCCCAACCCTTAACCTCCCTTCTTTATTCTAAAGGAGAGCTTAATTGTGATAATATATAAAATTACAAGCTAAAAATCATGTTGTAATGTTTTGTTTTAGTTTGCAATCTATGGCGCGCTTCATCAACACGATTGGGTCCTACTTCAACACAAATAGATTGGACTAAAGTAAAATTTTCCTGAAACTTTTAAATCTCAGTAAGGAAAAATAAAAATGTTGTAGGCCGAGGACGGTAAGCAAGACCTCGAGCTCAGTTTCTCCCAATACGGACCGACCTAGGCCGGTGAATAACATATATATCTCTTAAGTTTGTCACTGAAAAAATACTACTACTACTTGCCTAGGTATGTGTAGCCATTTGTACCATTGGGTGGCTATGTGTACCAATGTGTGGCTTTGTGTGGCTATGTGTGTGCATGGGTAGCTATGTGTGGCTTTGTGCAGTTATGTGTAGCTATAGGTGGCTATGTGCAGCTTTGTGTGGCTATGGGTCGCTATGTGTAGTTATGTGTGGCTATGTGTGGCTATGTGTAGCTATTGGTGGCTATCTGTAGCTATGTGTAGCTATGGGTGGCTATGTGCAGCTATGCGTGTCTATGGGTGGCTATGTGTGACTTTGTGTAGCTCTATGTGCAGTTATGGTTGGAGGCAGCTATTTGTAGCTATGGGTGGCTATAGGTGGCTATGGGTAGCTATGTGTAGCTATGGGTGGCTATAGGTGGCTATGTGTAGCTATGGGTGGCTATAGGTGGCTATGTGTAGCTATGTGTATCTATGGGTGGCTATAGGTGGCTATGTGCAGCTATGTGTGGCTATGTGTAGCTATGGGTGGCTATAGGTGGCTATGTGTAGCTAGGTGTAACTATGGGTGGCTATAGGTGGCTAGTGTAGCTAGGTGTAACTATGGGTGGCTATAGGTGGCTAGTGTAGCTAGGTGTAGCTGTGGGTGGCTAAGGTGGCTATGTGGAGTATGTGTAGCTATGTGTGGCTAGGTGTAGCTATGGGTGGCTTTAGGTGGCTGTGTGTAGCTATGGGTGGCTATAGGTGGCTATGTGTAGCTATGGGTGGCTATACGTGGCTATGGGTGGCTATGTATGGCTATATGTCTCAATGGGTAGCTATGGGGGGCTATGTATGGCAATGCGTGACCACATGTCAAGCGTTCAGCGGTTACTCTCATTACGGCTAGGAGCCATTCCTGCAGTTCAGGCCATGTTTTCTTGACCTTCGCCGCCATCATGAAATTTCTACATCCACAATGCATTGCAATCCCAGTGCAAACACCGCCTGGAGTGCGGGAGTGCTTCTAGAGCCGCCGGGAACAGCAGGTGGCGAGGCTGGGATGGAGAATCTTGACTTCTCTCATCCTAATTATTCTTACGCCTGTACAGCCAAATTCAATTCCACGGGTGCTTTAAACAGTCGTACACGTCAAATCCCGTCAGCTACGATGACTAAACGCTCTATAGTTAGAACGTTTCCAGTTCGCCTTATTTTTAAAACCAACTCAGTTTTCAAAACCAAATCAGTCCAACATCGACGCATTAATTACTACAGCTTCGTTAGAAAATAACCCCATTCATTAAATTGCCACAGGCAGACCACTTCCTAACGTAAGCATACATCCTTAAAAGAAATTTCATCTCATGACCAACTAAACGTCATGCAAACCTTTTTATAAAAACTATACCAATAAAAACGGGAATGAAGATAATTTAAAAAAAAAAAAAGTTGACTCAGGATATTTAAGGAGCCTTGCAAAATGTGGAGCTTCACGTAGAAGAAGCGTTTCTTTTTAGGGCTTAATTTCTTAACTAAAACTTGAACAAGGACACGCTGATTTTACGTCATGTTTTCCAATCAACATTATTTATAACTCGTAGCTTACCGCTGATGGATCACCTCCACAACATTGTCCTGAAAATCTCGAAACATTTCTCCTCCAAACCTCATGTAAATTTTGTCTCCAAGATTTGGCTCAAATTTAAAATGGGGCGCAAGTACAGCATGAAAAACAACAGTCATTTTGTTGCCGTTATAATCTTCAAAGCACTCCCTTTTCATTTTTGACGACGTTTCATTGTTTTTTGCAAGACCAGAATCGTTTTCCTCGTTGTCATGACTATGTTCGTGATCATCACCATCAACTGGCTGGTTGGTTCCGAAACCGCCGCACTTTTCCTTGTCAGCCACTTGGTCATGGTTATCACTCCTGCAAAGAGTATATTTAGCAATTAATGAAAGAGGCTGAGTAGGATATGAAGAATTTAAGCAGATCGAGGAGGGTGTTATCTACCGAGGTCGAAGGCCGAGGTGGATAATACCCTCCGAGATCTGCTTAATTATTCATATCCTACGAAAGCCTAGTTCCGGCTGTAGTTCTTACTCTTGAAACGAGTGAAATGTCCGCCATTTTTTTTCACAACCAAAACAACTCAACCTCGTCCCCAGATTTTCTCGGTTAACGGTGCCTTAACCTGTAGAGGGCTGCATTTTTGACGTCATTTCCTCGTTAAACACAAAATTCTTCCAAATTTGGTCATCAGTAACTGGTATGGTGAATTATGCGTGTGCTTTTAGCCAATCAGAATTGGGGAAATATTTTGAATGAATAATAAATAGGTAATAATACACTTTACTCACGATACTCGCCCTTTCTCCTCCGCAGAGGCCTCTTAACCTAGCGGGAGTCTCTGCGGAGGAGAGATACTTGCCATGGCTTTCTGTCACGTGGTTTCTCTCAGGGGATAAACAAGAAAAAAATTGCTAATGCAAGAAATGGTTGTCAAATTTGCTTAGTGTAAAGAAGATAATGGCAAAATATGGGTGGAAGTGCTCATTGTTACACAGCAAGAAAAGTGGCATTTTGTTACTTGTAAAAAGCGCGGTAGCGACCGTATATATGTTCTCATAGCAAACAATGATGACGTCAATCTTGTCGAAACTCGAACTGTACATTTCAGGACTATTAAGTCGAATTTTCGTTTTTACAGAATATACAAACTCGACGGCGATCACTCGTATTGGCAAATTTTAGCACTTGTTTGCTCCCTGAATTCATGAATGAAAATAAAAAAAAATTGGAACTAGATAACAAATAAAAAAATAGTAACAATAATAATAATAATAATAATAATAATAATAATAATGGGTACAATAAGGGGTACCCAAAGCCAAACTAAAGTCTTTAATGATTCAAGATTACTGCTATGAAGATGTTCTGTATAAAAGCCAGCAGGAAGCACCAAAGTTAACCACCCTGATAGACAACTGGAATGTGTGGCTGGTGTAAGTGACTGCTTGAGCTGCACAAAGATTAAAATAAATACGAGAGTACAAAATCAAATGAATGAGGGGTAATGGCGTTATAAGGATTGCAGCCAGGAGGATAGAAAGTAGAGAGAAGAAAAGTGGAGTGGTAGAGGTGCAGGTGCAGGTGCATGCAAGAGTAGCAGCCAAGACCGGCTTGATAATTAAAGAGGATGAGGATTTTACAATTAAGCCTAAATGATCTAAAATGTTAATGAAAAAAAAGAGGTCTACCAAACAAAACAATGGACTCACTGTGCTGCTTCTCTAGTTGTTTCCTCCTTTTTCCTTTTTTCCTTATCCATAGTGGTCTTGCTCAAGGACGGGTGCTTTTCCGTGCCTGCAGATTGTACCGTCTTATCTTTTGGTGGATTTGAATTATCTACCTGACGAAAAAACGAACCAAAACAAAAACAAAACGACATGAAACAATAAAAAGACGTGATTTTTTAAAACTGTTTCATTTATTGTTTCTCAACATCATTAAGATGATTAATCACCTAATACTAGGTAACAAATAAAAATCAAAGATTTTTTCTTTGTTTCAGAACAGGTACCCAATGAGACATTATATACCAGTACTTGAATCAGTGGTTGTAAACGATGGACGCAGGGATAATTTTGACAGTGACATCGCTACAAACCGTTTTTTTATTCTTTAGAGAGGACATAGTACAGCTGATAAGATCACCATTTCAGTGGGACAAACCAGAAAAGTGTCAGTTACACATTATGTCAATGTTTATTTTCTTGGTACTAATTGTTATTCTAAAAAGGCCTCAATATGCTAGTCTTTGGCATTTGGTTTGTCGGGAATCACGTCCAACCACAAATAAGATTTCAACATCGTCACATTTCCATTAACCGACCATTATTTGCAGTTCTGGTAATACAGTTACCTCTAAGTCTGACTCAATTTCATCGCTTTCATCACTGCCTTCCCCATGATCACTGTTGCGAATTTTACTATCAGACTCTTCGGAGGGAGTGTCGGTGTTGTTTTCCTTTGGCTGTCTGCCTACTTTGTCAGCCTCCTGCTTGACTGTGTTAGGTCCTGAATCCACGGATGTTTTCAAAAGCGTAACTGTTTCACAACCTTTCTTAACATCAGGCACTGACGACTCTTGGAATACAGTTCCAGCGTTTTCAATTACCTCCTTTCCCACATCCTTAGAGATGGCTGCTATGCATTAAAAAAAACATAAAACTGAATTAACTAGTACTAATTATACAACAAGGGAAATTTTTCAGATACTATAAATGCTCGAATAAGCGCCCCTCCTCATGCTTAAAATTTGGAATAAGCGTCCCCTTCAAATAAGCGACCTCCCCCCTCCCCCGAGGAAAAACGAGGCTCAGTACTCGATACGATATACGAGACGTATACGGCACTTTTAATGAAGTGACATGCGTAATAGTACAAAATTACTAATATTTGCCTCTCACCCTCACACTAACCCTTAAACCCTGACTCTTACTCTCTACATTGTTAACACTCCCATATCAGGGACACATGGCAATATCAGTGAGTCACTGATATTTTTACTTACCGTAAATGCTCGAATTAGCGCCGGTGTGCTTATTTAATTTTCTAAGAGGAGAGGGGGGCGGTTATTTGACGGGGGCGCTTATGTCGTTTATCAATTTTTGGCCTCAAAATGGCACTATCTTTATTTCTAGTTAACCCAAACTATATACAAATAAAGCAAGCACCTATGTGCTCACATGGATATTTCTATCGAGGAAATGAGGGTGAGAGTGAGGGGTTAAGATTAGGGATAGGGTTAGGGTTAGGGTGAGGGTGGGGGTGACACTTAAGATTAGGGTGGGGGTGGGGTTAGGGTTGAAATTCTTGAAGTGTTTGTTTGGGTAACCCACCTAGCTAGGGGTGAATTGGCACCAATTACAGTCTAGAAGCAAACTACTATGGCTTCCTGCGGCTGCCAACCCGGCAAATCGTTTACTCGATAATACTACCAATCATTGTTAAGAAGTAATGCCAACCTGGATTCGGTCTATAAAATTTGTAAACAGCAACAACTTTTTATTTAGCAGCCAGAAAAGGTTAGGCACACCTTGCACACCACTAGCTCAGGTTTTAGCGTTGCTTTGTACTCTAATTTTTGCTATCCATCTGAAAGATTTGTCTTATCTGCCTTGTTTTCTCTTTTAATAGCAATATGTCTTCCCTAACTTTTTCCCTTACCCTCACCCATACGCTTACCCTTGGTCTTACCCTTGCCCTCGTTCTAGCAATGCCAGGGCGAAATTAGACAAACAGTCACAATACAGTCTTAATACCTCCAAGGCATTTAACAGGACTCAACAGAAGTTTTTGTTAGTCAAACTAAGTCACAAATATTGGCCCATGAACATTAGCCACTTTGACATTCACTCAACATTAAAATTTTTTCAGAAATAAGTGCTTTACAAAGAAAATATAGGACCCACTGTAGATAACAATTATAAATTTCAGATGGATAAATAAAAATTAAATAAATGTGCAAGATAATGATTCAAACAAAACTAATATTGGGTGGCTTGATGAGACTGTTTCAACATCAATTAAACCATACTGAATTTCTCACAAAAACTGCTCAATAAAAACCGACTTTTTGGAAGAGCATCATCTTAGAGTCCAATCACTCTACCTGCTGAATGGTTACTGGTTCTCACTACTGCGGTTCCCTGGTGAAAATCTTTCAAGGATCTTTGGAGATCTTTGAATATTTGCATGAAGATCCTAGTGCAGATCTTTGAGCATTCTTATCAAAAATCCTCAAAGATATTCGAAGATCTTGCCAAGATCCTCAAGGTTCTCGAGAAGATCTTCAAGGATCCTTGAAGGTCTTTGCATATATCTTGAAGATCTTTAAAAAGATATTTGTAAAATCCTCAAAGATCTTGGCAAGATCCTTAAAGTTCTAATAGGCAAGATCCTAACAAATCTTTGACATATCCTCAAAAATCTTTGCAAGATCCTCACAGATGTTTGCACGATCCTCACAGAGGCTTTGTCGTATCCTCACAAATCTTTCCAAGATCCTCAAAGATCTTTGCACGATCCTCACAGATAGACAACAACTATATCTCCTTCACAGAAATTTTAATTAGGTTCTAAAAGGAATCTAATTAAGAACCTTTTAATCTTGAACTGCCAATAGTACCCCAAAATATAACAACCTATTTCGCCAGAATGGAAAAAGAGTATATTCTCATACGCGGGGGTTACTACAGTAGCTCGCGATGAAAATTAAAACGTTACAATAATTATTTAATAAAATATTACCACTAGAACAACGAAAACCTGCCATAAATTTCACTCTTATTCCACATCTTCTAAGTGCTTGTGAAATTACAGGTAAAAACGTTTTAGCATTCCCTGATTCTAGGAAATCAGAAGAGTCTAACTGGAACAACTGTTTGTCTTGCAATAACATACATGGATGATGTAAACAAGTTCGTTTCAGTTTGTGCAGATACACTACATGAGTCGGTCTTTGGTGCCCTATTCTGCAGCTGCATTTCATACATGCCAACTCTTCCGGATTATCCGGGAGTCTCCCGGATACGACACAGATCTCCCGTTCTCCCATACGGGTCACCAAATCTCCAGGATAAAATCATCTTTTGATCTTTTCTGTGCTTTAGTTTGAGATGTAGCCCATTTTCCCCCCAAAGTGTGAGTTCTTCTTATTCGTAGGACGGTTTCTGACGCATTTTTGCACGTATTTAGTCGTTGACAAAGATTCTGTCGGCATCAACACAATGAGCGCGAATTTTGATAGTATGTACTTCATGTAAGACTTCATATAATGTCCTAAGCCATTTCCATTGGGGGCTAGGGCAACTTTCTCCGGGGAGGGGGGGCTCCGTCGAGACTTGGGGGATGGGGATAGTGAAAA